TTTTTTTTTCAGCAGGGCCCAGTGCCCAAGGCTGATATTCAGAAAACAAGAACGAGGCTGGGGTCCTCACAATCTACCCGGATATGTCACTACCTGGGAGCCTTACCCAGTTTTGCTTTTTACGAGACCCCGAGGGACCCGGGAACCAAAAGTTAAATCCAAAAATAATACCCATACAAAATAAGGAAGATGCCTGCCTCTTCAGCAATTCAAGCCGCCAGATCTAACATGCCAAACCAAGCAGCTGCCGCCAGATTATGATATTTCTACCAGCGATGTATGAGATGGGGGAAAAGGATCTGCAAAATCTCTAGGGGCCCTGAGAGAGGCTCCTGGTTGTAGTGAAAACCAGTCCTTGAAACAGAGTTGGAAATCTCTCCTAAAGAAGACTTCCGACCCTTCTCCTCCTGGCCATGTCACTTCACCCAGATTCCTTTCCCCTGCACCCCCCAGCCAGTCCGCAACAAATTCCTGAATTAAAAGTTGAATATCTTTCTTCCTTTGTAATTTGTGTAATTTAGAACATAACACATTCCAATGGGCTCTGATTTCTGTTTGTATGAACTGAACAATATATTCAGAGATTTCATATCACTCCAGTGCTACATTTTCCCTTTCCAAAACACAACGTTTATACCATAGGACCCAAACGACCGCTTTCCTACCAATTTCAAAAAAATTAGACTGAAAGGCAGTTAGCGTGGTATCTTGTGGGCACCAATGTCCTACCAGAATAGCTTTCCATTCCCAAGGCCAGTCCAACCCAGTGAGCTCCCTCCAAACATAGTCCCATCTCCTCCATAATAGAACCGACCCAGGGCACTGCATAAAAATGTGTTCAATAGTTTCCCTACACCTTTGCTAGGAAAATTCGCTACACATGACTTGCACCAAGGAAAGGCCAAACCCTTTTGTTCCAAAGAGGAGCGGTCTATGATCCAATCTTTAGTTGGCAGACAACGATGTGCAGTTTGCCACTGCAACGATGAGAATTTGGCTGGGCGTTGTCTGATTTTATTAAAAAAAATTATTTTTTTAATTGGGTTTATATCTAAATTAAGGTGTCTAGCCCATCTTTCCCAGAGAATTGAAGAAATGTCCTCATCAATCATCAATGTATTCCAATTATAAGGACGCTGGTCCCGGTTCCCAGCACATGCTTCTCCCCACGAATAGATTGGAGCATTTGAAAAGAAAAAGAAAAGAAGAAAAAAAAGTAGGTTGGAAGCAAGGGATGCTACAGTGTCCGGGCTCCACATGGACATGGTCTTGGTGGGACAATATATGGCAGCATCTGGGCACAGGGAAGGCACTGCTGTGCGGAGCCTGGCAATCTGAACAAAACAGCACCTTTGAGGACATAGGGCGAAGAGAGATACTGCGGGCCCTCTGGTGGCAGTGCTGCGTTTTCGAGATGGAGGGCGCCCGCCTAGACACTGCGGCTTTCACCGACCTGATCAAACGACAAGTGCAGACAGAGCTAATTGCACAATGGCAGAAGGTTAAAGAACAGGAAATTGCTATGCATTCACAAACAGAAATTCACAAGAGCATGAGCGTCGATAGGCACAAGCCGGACCCCAGGATTTTAGGGGTTAAGAAATGTTTTCTGGTAGGATACACCGGGATAGAGGAGCAGGCATGAGCCGGACCCCACAGGTTTAGGGTTTAAGAAATGGTTTCTGGTAGGCCTTGCGCCCTCTCTCAGAATTCCCAGATCCTTTCCCCATCGTTGGTGGATCTGCAGTGCTATGGGGGCATATGCTCAAAGGGTTGCAGGGTGCCAGGAATGTAGGGAATACGGCAGACGCCCAGTAGCAGGGTGAACAGACACCAATAGCAACCCACCCCTTTTTCCAAGTTCAAAGTCTGGTTTTCAGGGATGTGATATAATGGGATGCTGGACCCGGTTTCCAGCAGGTGACGCTCGCCACCGGTAGATAGGAGCCAAAGCTGAGGGTGCTACCGGGGGATGTGCATACCACCCTCGGCAGTAGCCCAAGCCCTTGTTTACGAAGGAGGCTTAGGAGGGGACAAAAAGGATAGAAGCAATGGAAACTTGGACAGTCATTCAAATGAGAAACGACAAACTGTAGGAAGGGGAGGGTTGCATCAGCTAGCTGAAGAGACAGAAAGGGAGGTTTGCGCCATCTATCCTGAAGAGACAATGTATGAGGCCTAACACACCTTTTCTCTTCCCATTCTCAAACATGCCAGCATAGAAAATTCCACTTATCGCATCTTTCCATTCTCCTTTGCCGTGACAAATACCATGTTGCCAATCACCTTTGTACATGCTCCCATCTGCGTACAGCAACGTTCCTTGCCCATGCGGTCTGCAAAGAAAGAGTAAGGCATCCCACGTTAGTGTATACGACCATCTAATAACAGTTCTGCTACAAGAATTATTGTGAAGTACTGTGGTGGGCGCAGTCTCCATGTGCGATCCTGGGAGGCCAGAGGGACCCCAGAACACATCCCCACCCCCACAGCCTACACCGCCGCCCTGTGGTCCCCCACCACCACTACCTTCGCAACGATCACCACTCTCCCCTACCACGCCCCCACCACTACCCTCACAAACTCCGCTGCTCAACCCTAACCCCCCCCCCCCCCCCCCCCCCCCCCCCCCCCCCCCCCCCCCCCCCCCCCCCCCCCCCCCCGCCTCCCTCCTCCATTCCACCCCACCCTGCCCTTCAGACCACCTCCCCCTATCCCCCACCCCTTCCATCACAGCCACCAACGCCCACCCCTCCCCTTCCCTCCTTGTCACCTCGGAGTCCCACCTTCGACCGCCCACCCCTGCCCTTACACCCCCGGCCTGCCACGCCTCCCCTTCCACCCTCCTCTCCATCAGACACTTCACCTTCTCCTCCACCCCTCCCAGAGCCCCAGGTAGTCTTCCCCCATCCCTCCCCCCTGGCCCCCCTCTACTACAACCTCTGTCATCACTGAGCGAGGAGAAGTAGGAGACTGGGAAGGACCTGTGGCTATCACTACCAAGATGTGAGGAGAAGGACGGGACTGTGAAGGGTGGAACAAGCCAGGGAAATTGCTGAGGATGGCTCCACCGGACAACAAAGAGATTCAGGGGTTCTGGACGCAGGCTCCAGGTTCTGATCTCCACAGCAGTGGGCATAAACCCTGTCTGGCACCCAGGCTCTTCAATGCGCAGGAGTGCATTACACACCCAGACCCGTACATGGCAAACACAGATTTAGATGCATAATATATAGTCCTTTAAAGCACAATGCTAGTTTAACAGTCGCATTTTTGTTTCGCAGTTCCCTCTTTAACGCAGAGTGCAAAACGGTAATTTTGGTGTAAAAACAAGCATTGCATTCGTGTTGCGCAGTTGCTCCTTGAAAAGAAGACTTTTAAAAGTAAGCATATAGTCCTACGAAGCTGGGCACATACTTGACGCAACATCAGACAGATGCATTTCTCATAAATTTAACAAACAAGAGACAAATTGCTTACACAGAGGAGATAAACAAGGGAGTGCATAATGATTGAGAGGAAAGTAGACCAAGAACACTTCTGAATCATTTTTTTTGTCGGCTATTGTACAGAGTCAAAATGTACCAGCGAGTCTGAAATTTCAACAAGAATGACCCGAGTGCGAAAATCTGAATATCTAATCAGGCGCGAAAGCAACTCCGAAGTACAATTCTATGACTAAATGACTGTAAAATTACAAGCCCCACTGTCTTCTAATGTACTAAAGCTAAAAGAGTCGTGAAAAGGTAAGCCCCACTAGTTTTCTAATAAACTAAGGCTGTCAAAAAAATGACGGACCAAGGTAGAACGCACTTGTTCCTAGATGATTTCATTTAGCTCTAGAATTACAAGCCTCACTTCAAATGAACTAAGGCTAGTAGACAAATGTCCGAAAAAGGTAAGCCCCACTAGTTTTCTACTAAACTAAGGCTACCAAAAATATGACAGAAAAAGTTAGAATCTACAAGTTTTGAGTTGAGCTAATCGGATATGACACTAACTCCATTTAAATCATAAGTCGTACGGGTCTTCTAATGAACTAAGGCTACTAGACAAATCTCTGAAAACGGTAAGCCGCACTACTTTTCTAGCTTCCTTAAGCTACGAAACATATGTCGGAAAAAGGTAGATTGTACAAGCTCATGGACGAATTGCTCAATGAGAATGTAAACCTCAACTGCCAACAAGTTGTTTTCGCGCCTCTTGTGTTTCTAGACCTAGCTGACGGACATTCTACCACCTCGTCTCCTTCACCAAATTAGACTTGTTTAGTCTTCTGCAAAGTGATTTTCATCAGCTAGTCGTGACACGTCTTCGTGATGATCCTCATCCCAGCAATCATTCAAGGGCGATTTTGATGTACCTTGATTTTCATAATCTTCTACGTTTGTGGATTCTAACATTTCGTAAAAAAAAAATTTCGTCGAAGACATGAGTGTCTTGTCCGCCTTTAAATCGAAGTTGTAGCAGAGAACGTCGTAGCTCCAATCAAAGATGTCCTCGAAGAACTCCTTAGTGGACCTTTTTCTATAGTAAGGATAATAACCTTCTCCTTTCTCGCGCTAAACATACCAAGCGACTTTGAAACATCATTCAGGCAGCAATTCAGTAACCTTACCGATGTGGTAGGGTTTGCCTCTTTCTTCTTGTCCAGGTGAAGCCCGGAGTGCAATAAATTTGTGAACCACGAGGTCTTCATACTTCTCATCTCTTTCTTCTCGGTACTGCTTGCTCTTTCATGTGCCGACATATATCAGTCTTTCAGGCGGGAACAAGACGTCGAAGCGATGACCAACCTCATCGGCATTGACTGCGCCAGTATCCTCTGCCGTTATCTCTTCTGACATTACAAATGACTATTTAAAAGACACTTTGAGGTTTGTGTCGTTCAGATCTAATGATTTTTGCTTTTCTCCGAATTCTCTCCACCATAGCATATATAAGTCCGAATTCTCTCCATCACAAGTCGACCTAAACCTAGCTTCTAAAGACCTAATGGCATGTTTCGATGACGTTTGTACTTCTCCTTTTGGCTCGGACTTAAAGATATTCAAACCTTCTCTATCATTGGGCTGCCACGGAGAGTTATGATATTGCTTACTCCAAATCCTGACTTGTTTTGCGTCATTGCGTTCAATGCGGAATTGTTGATTGAAACTAATATCGTTCACGTTGTGCAGATGCTCATGTACATACGACTTCCAATCTAGCATCTCTGTCGATTCATCAAAAATGACATTCTGTTCTTGCTCACTTCTATAGGACTCTTTGATAATATGTTGCAGCTCCAAAAGATCAAAAGCGTTTTGTGCAGCTAATTTTCTAGAGAAACAACTGAACATCTGATCAATGTCCTCGTGTGTGTGACCTACGAGAAGAAAATTTAACCTGACCTTACGAAAAACATTCATCTTCATAAGGAAGACCAAATATGCTAACACGTACTTGTTTTTGTTTTCTTTCATAGTGTTGTCCAATGTCAAATACAAAACTCTTGGAAGCGGTGCGGGAAAATCACAAATCCGGCGGTGAAGGATAGTCAACAAGCGATAAAACAAGGATAAAACAAAATAAATACTACAAACGATTGTCTGAACACATATAGTTCTATATTTTGCAAAAGCGACGTTCTGCAAGCATAAAGGGCTATCCGCATGGATGTACGACCTTACCCATGAATTTAGGATTGTCCGCAATAGTCTAGCACAGTGACTGAATCCCAATACTACATGCAGCAAAACCGCCAGCACAAGTCTGCACCTCAAATGAAGGACAACATTCTTGCGACTGAAACACATGATTGTTAAGGATAAAGCACGACCTGCAAGGATGTCGGACTACAAAGGACAGTCTGAATGCATATAGTCTTACATTCTGCAACAATGAAATGCAAGCAAAAAAGACTCTCCGCAAAAGTTTACCACAGTAATTGATTCACAGGACTAAATGTCTGCTACTGAAACACAAGTTTGATATAGGTAAAGGACGACATGCAAGCATGTAGGCCTTTTCGCATGGATCTGGGACTGTCTAGATGCAAAAGGTCATACGTTCTATGATAGTGACGACATGCAAGGATATAAGACTATATGCGTATTTGTAGGATTATTTAAGTGGATTCACGACAGTTTGTAACAAAAAAACAAAGTGACAGAATCAGATACGACATGCAAGGATATAGGACTATATGCATATTTGTANCAAAGTGACAGAATCAGATACGACATGCAAGGATATAGGACTATATGCATATTTGTAGGATTATTTAAGTGAATTCACGATTGTTTGCATAAAAAAACACAGTGACAAAATCAGAGGACTACATGACTGCGACTGATTCAGAATAATTAAGAGCAGTAGGACTAAACTACCTTGAGGTTGAAACTGCAACTCAAAAATAGGATTTGAAAGGTTTTGCCACAATTAAAATGAATCAAAGAGCAAGGTAGAAATTTGTTTACCTCGTTCTACACGTTTTGTTGCATGTGAGCGCCCTAGCTTGAAACATAGGCATGTGCATAAACTGGGAATCTCTTTGTCGCCGGGATAATAACCTTCGCGCAATGTTCCCGCCAAATCTTAAAAAAACATGAGCGAGAAGGACCTGTAGGAAAATGTGACTCAAATTCGCGCTTGAAAAATTCATAAACGTCCTTCCGGAGATTTGTATCTGAGAGATGAAATTGATCGTTGTTGGGCATGGTCTTCGTGTTCAAGCGAAAGTACTCATGCATCCAAGAAAGAACGCGCTCTAAGGACGCTGACAGTCCGCTCGGCCGTGTATTTCGATGTTCATACGTCTGCACTCCACATTTGAAAGTTTTTCGGACGTCCGCAACATGTGAAGTCAAGCACCGGTACAATGCACCCCATGCCCTTATACAAATATTTACATTGTTGAAAGTTACCCTTAACTTCTCCAGTTGTCCTTCATCTGAGAAGTATGAGGTAACTCTCATCTCTCTGAGAAGGAAATTGACCTGCTCCGGTTGTTTCATTGCCCAAAATATCTCTCGCGTGTAATACACATAAGTTGCGCTAAACTTGCGAAAACATTTTGCCTTGCAACAATTTCTCTTCAAGACTTCTTCTGCTTTCTTCATGTCCACGTGAAAGCTCGCCTTCTTATTGTACACTCGCAAGTTCCTACCACGTTTTCCTAAATTGTAAGGAGGTTTATCTCTAGTTGTCGTTGCACTGAAAACACCTCTTCTAACCTCCTGTGTTAAGGTGTCTTTTGCTTCTGTAATACTTCTTCCTAGTGATCTCTTGTGGAACATGTCAAAACCACGCTTTTCGTCGTTGTGGCTCTCTTCTGTTGGATTTGTCACTTCGACATTCGCTGTTGGATGTCCTCTGTGAGCTTGATCACTGTTGCTTTCCTCCTTAGAATCTTGTGCGCTGTGAAATGCACCTCCTTCAGAAGTTTCATCACGTCCCTCGGAAGTTTCATCAGCATCACTTAACTCTTCAAAGTTTTCTTCCTCTTCATGCATTTCAAAAGTTGGGTCATTCTCGCTCACTTCCTCATTGTCATGTAACTCTTTCTGCCATTTGTTGGACTTGTTCGTACGTCCGCGCTTGCAAGAGTTCCCGGATATTGCCGAATCAGAGTACAGATCAAGAACACTGGTAGTATCCTTATTGCTGCATCGACCGCTTCGTCTTTCACCTCAGTTACGTAAAATATCTCCTGCTCCCTGGTGAATATCCTCTTCGACTCGTATGGCGAGAACATTGTTTTTTGTCGTTCTTCTACTACTAACCAATTGAGGAATGATTGGGGGTAACCATCTGACAATGGTCTTGCGACTTCTATTGCGCTCCATAATTTCTCAACGGATTGACTGTTCTCACCGAGCTCGGAGAGGAATGCATGGAAGAAAGCAGTAAAGAAGACTCGTCTAATGACGACAACAATCAATGACGTCGCCAAGAAGGGCAGTACAGGTAAGGAAGTTTACTAAGAGAAATAAGGAAATAAAAAAGATATTTTGCAAGTTGACGACAACACGCAAAAACGTCACGTCGACGACAGTAGGCACTGGTTCTGCTTGTGCCAAGAAAAGCGTCGTTGGAAACCTTGTCAGCTATACAACACTTATGTCGCCAAGAGACGCGACTAACTCCGTTGTTGTCCGTTAAAGATAACAGTTAGCCTAGAGAGACGTCAGAAAAATACGACAAACTAGCGACAGTTTCCTCCCGAAATAAAATCACGTTTTGGCGGAACAGCTTCTTGGACTGCTCGTGAAAAGAACTTGGAAAACGACCGTTCGTAACGTAATTCAGACCACCTGATTGGCGGGTTGGGAAATGTAATTCAAGATCGCAGGCTAGGTACAAAATTTTTAGACGTTTTGCAAGCAGGCGCAGAAAACAAGGTTCTTACGATTCTTTTGTGAAATATTTGGGCGGACCTGTAGAGGAGTTGTGCTTTGGTCCACCAGAGAAAGCTTCGTGGAGTGACGTTTTGCAAGCAGGCGTGGAAAACAAGGTTCTTGCGATTGTTTCATGAAATATTTGGTCGGACCCGTAGAGGAGTTGTGCTTTGGTCCACCAGAGAAAGCTTCGTGGACTGTATTAATTTGGCGGGACGAACGTTCTTGGAGTGCATTTGTTAAAATATTTGGGAAAGCCTATTCATAGGAACGTTGTCTGGACCACTCGACTTCAGACTTTACACGAAACTTTTAGACGTCTTTGTAAAGAGATTTCGGTAGCAATTTTTTTGCAAATATTTTGTAAAATATTTTTCCGGACCCGTAGACAAGCTAGGTCTTTAGCGGGATCAAAATTTAATCTTCAAGATGACAGACATTTTTTTGACGAGAGTCGTCATTGAGGAAAAACCTTCTAGAGTTCAGACGTGAGAAACTTGGTTATCCTAAGTTCGAGTATGCAGGTTCCTGGAATTGTTATCTTCACAAGAACACGTGCTCGGTCTGCAGTATAGTTCTATAAAGAATTTTGTGAAGTCTCTTGTGTAGTGTTAAAGTACTAATTAGCATGGTTTGTCGATGGTATTACCAGGGCACTGTTGGAGTTGACGTCCTTTGTGCCCTCCACTTGTTTTGGGGAGTGGCTGGTTCGCGGAAATTCAACAATCTTTAACTGTTTCTTTTTCCTTCGAGGGGCAGTTTTTGTCTCCTTCGGAATGAAAATACCTCCGACAGTGTTCGCAGCAAGGAGTGGAGGAGCAGATAACCTCGAGTTCCACGCAGCCCCCATCCTCCATGTCGATGACCATGTATTTTTGTACTTAGACTAAGCCAGTGGATCGACGTGCTGCTTTCTTGTCATTAAAGGCGGGGTAAGATTTGAGAATGTTCCCATGAAGGGTTCTTACTGCACCTTCAACGTGAGGCAGGACACTGATGGGGACACGGAGAACCCGAATTGAAAAAAAATTGAGAATGTTCACATGAAGGGTTCTTATTGCACCTTCAACGTGAGGCAGGGCACTGATGGGGACACGGAGAACCTGAATCCAAAAAGAATTCAGTCGCACCGATTCTCTCCACACGTACAATTTAGTCTCAGACATCCATGGTCTGCAGAAGAGAGAATATGATTTGTCACTTCACCAACACTGGAAAGACAGAAAAACAGAGAAAATAAAGAATCCACTAAAAATGACACTCTTGAGGACATAGATTGTCAAGACCTGTGACTTACATAGTGCTAAAACTTGTAACTACGATCTTTCTAAGGCTTCTGTACTGAAGTCGAAAGTTACTTTTTGTCGAAAGGCACATATAGTCCTAGAAGCAGTCGAAAGACACATATAGTCCTATAAGTGGTCGAAAGACACATATAGTCCTATAAGGGTCGAAAGGCACATATAGTCCTATATGTGGCAAATGAACGACAAATTGTCCTTAAAGCTCTGAGTTAATTCTAGCTCACGTTTCTCTGTTGAAATCCTAAGTGACATAAGCTCGAGGGCAAATAAATTTTTAAAATATCTGTTGAAATTCCACTCAATACTAGATTAGGGAGCGTGGTACACTGCATCTAACCATTGCCAAAATAGACAAACACAGAAAATGAAACTTTTAAGTGTGCCAAAACTCGTGACAGTCACTAGGGGAGTGCTAAAGTGCCAAAACCTGTGACTAACAGAGTGCTAAGACTGTGACTAAAATCTTGCTGAGACTTTGTTGCTGAAATCATAAGATGACATTTTGTTGAAAGGCACAGATAGTACTCTAAGCGATCTGTTTCTGTATCCTGAGTAATGAATGGGGCAGCGAAGTACAAAAAGAGAATGAGAGTTTACGGGAGTGCAACAAAGCAAAGAAGTGAGAGAGAGCAACAGAGAGAAGGAAAAAGAAGTAAAAATTGAAAGTCCGCTTTAAGAGCAGACGAGACTTGGTCTGAAAGACTGAGTGTCTTCACTCTAAACGGAAACACAAACACAGAGAGTTTAGCCAGATTTTGAAAAGTTTGGAAACACCTATCTCTTTGTCATTTTCCCAAAGACAAGCAAACTAACAGTCAGGTAATTAGGCGGAATGAGAGCACACACAGATAAGCACACGGAAAAACCAACCTCAAAGAAGGAGGTTTTCGCAGGTGCGGGTGAGGGGAGTGTCACACACACACACACACACACACACAC